CCATTTCTTGTTCAAGTTACTGGTTTCTGAACATTATCAACTTAACTTCTGTGAACTTAACTTCTGTGCACACTCAACTGTATCAGTTAAAAATCTAGGGGCCATATTTTATCTACACGCAAAGCTTGGCTGCTTTTTTTGCAGCTTAGGATTTTGGCTAGTTTATGATTCAAAGAATGGTGCAAATCCCAAAATTGGGTTAATTCAGTAATGAAGTTAAGCATGTTGTAGGAACCCTAGGACTGGCCAGATTCCACTTCTTTTTCCCCTTTAATCTCATGTACTGTTTGAAAAATGGGTGTTATTAATTGATTGAACAAACAAGACATCAAGATAAAAAATAAAGAATGTACAAAGTTAAAAAAAAAAAAACAGGAACAAAAGCAAGCAAAAAATTAAAGAAAACTTGGGAGCATGCATAAACACACACACACACACACACACACACACACACACACAGAGTGATTTGTTACTAGTAGCTACCTTCTGACTGGGTGAATCCCTGCTCACTTGGTAGCCATTTTGTGGTCAAAAAGTTTAGGGATCTTTTTTTTTTTTTACAGCATCATATAACAGCCAAATATAAATATGATTGGTCTCAGTTTGTGTATATGCTACAGTGGGTTTCTTCAGACTTGTATAAGATGAACTACAATCTCCAAAATCCAATCAATCAGTTAAGCAAGAACGGGCCTGACTCATTAAGGCATAATTAATTTATTTTGACTATGGAGTCATGTGAAGGATTGCTCTGCTTGACTTGTTCAAAATCCTTTGCATGAATCCAACAACCTGGGATAACTCACCAAAACTGTTTTAATACAGGTCCATGAATGGACATTTTATACAACCTCATCAAGCAAATGACATTTATCAGTCAATAAATGCAATAAGCCATTTGAAAAAATAGTGCAGATTAGGTGCTCAAATCATATTGGCAACTGAAGCTTGATAACCCCACATACTACACCATTTTTTTCTAGATAATTAGTCATAAACATTTCCCTTTAGACACTAAATTACAGTAGTAATCTTGTGACAATAATATAACAGGACCAGCAGATCATTCAAATCATATACAAGTAGCTACAGATTCCTTAAAAACTTGGTAGACCAAAGTCTTGGATCCATTAAGGATAAGATCTTTCAAAACAAATTAAATAAAGCAATTTATTGAGGCTTGAATTTGAGATAAAATAGATTTATTGTTGACCTTTTTTCATTTAAAGAACAAATTTAGTTCTAATTACAATAGAATGGAATCCAATAAATTTCTTCTAATGTGGCATTTATGCAAGTATTGCTATACTTGTTTACTACAACGACAGAAATTCTCTGATTATAATCTATTTTCCACTTGGTTTTATTGTGAAGTCAAAGCACTAGCAAGAAACTAGTGTTTGAAATTTAAGATTTCTCCTAGATCTTGTTACACTTATTTTAGATATAGAAGAACCAGACTTGACAATCCAGTCCATCTGACTGGAATGCACATATAAACTAGTTGAAATGTTTCTTTTAAAATGTGAATATATATTTGTATGTGGAAGCCCTATCCAAGGGGGAAGATAGCAGGATTCTTAGGTAGATCTAGAGACAAGAATCAAACATTTACATGGATCTGCTTGTGAATAAAACAAGGCATCTCTACAAAAAAACATATTTATTTTTACTGAATTATATACATGGATTAATCCAAGCATATTTTGGCAGAGTCACTGAAAAGGAGGAACAGTGTGCTTCTTAAACAGTGTTTTATACAAAGGTATACAAATACTTATATTAAAAATAATTAGCAAATAGCTTTATTGTCTGAATATCAATTCAAATTAACCAAATAACAAAATAA